ACTTGCTTTGGTCTGTCCATGTAACATAAGTTACAAGGGCTTATTTTATTACCTCGGCCTAACGAGCTAAAATGCATAGTCGAGAGAGCTAATCATTCGTTAAGGCAGCTAATGCAATTACTTTTCTGTGACAGTGTGCTCCAGCCTCTGGTTGAGGAGGGCCGGGCCGCAGCCGGGCCGCGGGTGTGCAGGCAGGTGCAACAGCCGGGCCGGGCCTGTCGTGGCCGCGGGGCCGGCCCTGATAAAGCCTGCACCTCACGCCCCGCGGCCGCGGGCACCGCGAGTGCGAGAGAGAAGCAGGCGCCGCGAGCTTACACTGCACACACGCCTCGCCCGCACCTGTTCGACGGCGCGGCTCACCCGGGGGGCTGACAGCAACGGCAGGAGCCCGGCGCAGAGTGACGCAAGGGCGGAGACACGCTCGTGACCCACTGCACTGCAGGGAGAGCACGGGGGCGCGGGGGGAGGCCGTCACCAAGGGGCGTGAGAACGGCGCTCCTCCTCCCCCGTGCAGTGCAGTCCCTCCCAAAGCGTGTCGCGCGCCGGCCCCGCCGCGGCCCCGGCCCCGGCGTCACAGTGGCTGAGCGCCTGCATTGTGCACAGGCAGGCGCCGTACCGCGCACCGCAGCCTGCAGAGCCTGCAGAGCGCACAGCTCCAGGAGGGAGGCCCACCCGGGAGCCTCCAGAGTCAGGAGCACACGGAGAGCAGTCGCGTCCAGTCTCACCTCAGGCCTGTCGCCCATGGGCGTGGACCGCCATGCGGCTCCGCGGACCTACGGCGAACTGGACAGCCATGGATAATGGCGAGTTCACCGTCGGACGGCCGGTGCTGGTGCTGTCGGTGGTGGCGGAGGTAATCCCTTGTGCATCACAGTGCTGCGGCCGCAGCAGCGCGCTGACAGGGGCGCCATCGCATTCACATTACGACCGTCACGTCACGTTTACCGCGTCGCCCTCGCGGCTCCACGGGGTATATCGTCACGCCGTCACGCCGGCGCGTCTCCGCTGCGCTACCGCCCTACCGCACGAGCCAGTGGTACCAACCGCACGCCACGAGCGCGCGCGCCACACTGGGGCCGCCGCGGGGCGCCGCGTAGCGCCGCGTGGAGCAGCGCGCCCCGCCCCGCAGCGGCGCCGCGGCGGCGTCCCATCAGCGTCGCCAGCGCGGGCCTGCTGGGCCCGCTGGGCCGGCCTGGGCCCAGGGCCCCGGGCCCCGGAGACAACTCAATCAGCGGGCGCGTCACGACGCCGTCCCATAAGCGCACGCGTCCCCGCCTTGTTTGTCTACATATGAGACCACCGCGTCCCCTACCGCGGGGCTGGCAGGGGCACTTACATGAGACTTGGGCACATATCGTGGCGACAGTCACGGTGCGGTGCCCTCTCTGGCCGGTCCGCAGACAGATTAGATGAGAACGACTGTATTGGGTATTCGGACCGGCCCTCCATACACCACCACCCCAACACACCACCACGGACGGAAAAGGGGCTCCGCACGGTAGCAAGAGCCGACCGGCGGGTAGCCTGGAACATGATGACACCTCCTCCCTCCTCGTGGCACCGCGGCGTAAGGGGGAGAGGGGGGCGAGCGAGGCGGACATCCCTTGCTGCTACAGGCTACAGAGGGTGGTTGTAGCCTCGGGCACGTCATAAGGCTCACAGTTAACACCTTACGAAGCAAAATATACCAAATCCTGTGAAGGATTTGCTACCTACAAAGTTTCCAAATCCTTCGTAGATACGAAGGATTCGGCATTTTTCGCCGTAAGGTTTTAACAGTGCTGACTCCCCGCAGAAGCTTTGTTGGCCGGGGGAAGTACCCCGGCGGCGGCTCTCATCTCTGGTTTAAACTGTTGCGATGGAAACTCGCAGCGCATCACACTAGTAGTCGAGAGGCGAAGGGCGGCGGCGGGGCAGGTTGTGGCGCGGTGGGGCCAAGCAAGGGCGGGGCAGCCAAACACGCGACTGCCAAACCAGCGCAACAGGCCCCGGCAGTGACATTGTGACACTGATGAGCGGGACACAATGCAATGAGAGTGAGGCGGCGGTGGTGGGGCGCTTGATTGAGCGTCGATCACAGAGAGGCCGGTGATTAGCGCGGGCTGAACCTCATCAGTTTTATTAGGATGTGCTGGGGGAGGGCAGCCGTGCGATTCAGGAGATCGTTCAAGAGGGGCTCTCTTATACCTCCTTCCTTGTTGCACTCATGGGGTAGGTATAGGAGAGCCCCTCTTGAACGATCTCCTGAATCGCATGGCAGAGGGCCGCCATAATACCGCCATTTACATCTAAATACAATTGAACGGCCTCGACGGGCGCGGCTAGGGGCGGGGTAGGTCGAGGTAGGTCGAGGTAGAGCGAGGTAGAGCGAGGTAGAGCGAGGTAGGGCGAGGTAGAGCGAGGTAGGGCGAGGTAG